TCAAGTATATTATTTACATTCATTAATCATAACATTATGACATGCGTTATTTTTATGAAATTGCAATTTGTTTTAAACTATTTGAGAAAATTACAAACCAAAACAAAACAGAGGAGACATTATAGTTTCTCCCAAGAAATAAGCGAAAAGAATTTAAATCCTATACACTGATAATTTAAATTAATCTGTAATTTTAATAGGTATTAATCAGTTATTTACGTACATATGCTTATAATTATTTTTTAAAAGTTGACGCTGTTAATTGCATACCATTTTGCCACGTATGGAAGCAGCACGGAGTTTCATGGCCCTCAAGAAAGAGAGTGAGTTGAAACTTCTCTCGAATAACGCTGTTAGCGAACTCTGCATTTCCCCAAAAAAGGAAGCCCTCACTTTCCCATTTTCTCAGGTTCAACAATGGCGAGCTTTTTTTGGGTTTTTACCTTCTTGGCTTTGGGGATCAGTTCCGAGGTTCTTTTCGCCCAAAAGTCAGTATTAAATTATCCTACTTTTCCTGCTTTTTTAGCTCATTATATTTGATTTCTCTTCTTCTTCAATAATTGCTTCCCTGATATACTCATTAATAATTGCTACTTTCATTGTTTTGAACACAAACCTCCTGATCTTTTCAATTCATGATACTACATTATCTTTTTTTTTCTCTCTTCCTTTGGGTATTCATAGTTTTTCATTGTAGTTGGTTTTTAGAATTTAAGCAATTGCTTAGCATGTTGTACATGTAATAAGTATAAGGTGGTGACACTTGAATCCAAGCCCAGATTCATATCGGGTTCTGAACAATATGTATAACTTGCCCTTTTTCTATTCCTTCCCCCGCCCCCCCCCCCCCCGGCGCGACCCTTAAGTTTCGGTCTTTTGAGCTAAAAGTTTGGCAGCTTCTATGAATCTGTCAAAAATACTGATTTTTATTATAGGGTGTCTGGAAAAGAACCTGATTTATCATATTATCCTGTACTTGTGGTTTTGCGAGAGAGAAAACAATTTTCGACTGTACTGTAGAAGGTGTATTGCTCAATTAGTTGTAAGCTGCAAATGCTTAAATCAATTATAATAAGCACGAGATTTGAAGTGATTTTCGTAAATGGTGCTTTACATGATTACGATAATTTGTTTCAGAAGCCGAAAAGAATTGAGGGGCAAGGAGGTGAATGGGGATGACATTGTAAAGTTGGGCCATTCTAATAGATTTGATCCCTCACAAGTCGTTCAGTTCTCGTGGCGACCAAGGTCAGGTAGTCCATTCAATCATTAACCTTGTTGCTTCTTCAACTTGTTGTGGCACGTAACAAATTTCACAAGCGAAAATTCTGGGGTATAAGTGCTTACACCCAAAAAAAAAAAAAAAGAGTTAATCCTTGTTATGTTGAAGAGTCCCACATTGGCTCTATATGGGATGGGTGGTCTCTTTACATGACTTGGGCAATCCTCACCTCTTGAGCTAGCTTTTGGGGTTGAGTTAGGCCCAAGGTCCATTTTTTTCAAAGTTATGTTGGTGTATCGAAGGCGTGTTTGTTTTTCGTCCTGGTTTTCTTGATGATATTACTTGAATAATTCTCTGTATGGAGGAATAATGAACATTTTTTCTTGAAATAGGGTCTTCTTGTATAGAGACTTTCTCTCAGCAGAAGAGACTGATCGCTTAATTTCCTTGGTAAATCAGTGCCTCGCAACTTGTAGTGCAATTCTTTTTTGGCTTAGAAAGTTTTTTTTCTAAAATGTATGTTAATACGGCTGCATTTGTGTAGGTGCATGTCAAGAGAAATAGCTCCACAAGTGATAATGCTTCATTTGATGCAGAGAAGTTCCCAACCATGGGTATCCCTTTAGATGCGGAGGTAAGTTCTTTGTTATCTACACGGTGTTGTATATGAACAAATGTTTCTTCGGAGCATACATGTGACATTTGTATTTTAGAGCATCTCTCTACACCTAAATAAACTACTTTGTGTAGAAAGCTTTTAACCTTGTAAACTGAAGATATTAGTAATAATGCATTAGTGTTCTATAAATTCTGCTTACCGTGATAGTGGACGGCACGCTCACCAGCTTTGCTGGCAGAGAAAGCAACTCATGTTGATTTAAACTCCGTACTCAGTACTCATAACATGTAAAAATGCAAGGTGAGGCTGCCTGCATAAGACCCAATGTGGTCCGGCTCTTCCCCCGACCCCGCACGTAGAGGGAGCTTATTACATCAGGCTGCCCTTGAACTTAGTACTTATAACATGTTTCTTGACACCATTCTGTAGGATCCTACTTCCTCAAGGATTGAAGAAAGGATCTCGGCTTGGACCTTTCTGCCTAAAGGTATTTTCTATTACCAGACAAATTAAGTTCCACTTTTTTTCTTTCTAGGTACCCCTCCCTATTAAAGGTTTTTGAGTCTACCTTCTCTGTGTTCTGTGACTGACGCAATCATCCTTGCCTTTAGGAAATAGCAGGCCGTTGCATGTTCAGCGTTCTGGGCGTGAGAATTTAAAGGGGAATTATGGTTATTTTGACGGGGACTCCGCACTTAAATCCAAAGAACCATTAATGGCAACTGTCATTTTGTACCTATCAAACGTGACGCAAGGTGGTCAGATCCTCTTCCCTGAGTCAGAGGTAAAAGAGAGTGCTTTCTTGTTCTTATTTTCATAATGTCATCTTTGCTGTTTGTGCTTTTAATCTGATTTATTAAAACTCATTGGTGCAGAATAAGATTTTCTCTGACTGTATGAAGAGTAGTGACATCTTGAAACCAACGAAAGGAAATGCAATCCTTTTCTTCAATGCGCACCTTGATGCATCTCCTGACAGGAGTAGTTCCCATGCAAGATGCCCTGTTATTGAGGGTGAAATGTGGTATGCAATCAAATTCTTTTATCTCAGAAGTATTACTGTACAAAGGGATCCTCTACAATTGGGTGATGACACCAATTGTACAGATGAGGATGAGAACTGTGCTCAATGGGCTGCTACTGGAGAGTGTGAAAGAAATGCTGTTTTTATGGTTGGTTCTCCTGATTATTATGGTACATGTAGGAAAAGTTGTAATGCATGCTAATTCTTCGTGTAATGTTGTATGTACCTTTACTGGTTTTGTTTTTGACAAAAAACTTCTGATTATATTGTCAGGACTTCCTCTTTTCTGTTTTCTTTTTGCCAACTATTGTGTAAACATGGCATACAAATAAACTATTGGCGCTTAGCTGCTGAATCTTAAACCTTAAATTACAGAAAATTTGGCGGCGATAATCTTGCTCCTTTCCCCTGCAATGATCATTGACATTCTCTCATTTCTAATAACAAGTCCCTTAACTCGGGGCGGCAATTTGAGCCCAAACCTATTTGAACCGCTCAACTCACCCAAGATTTGGCCGGTCATTGACTTACTCATTTGTTGAATTTTAGTCAATTTTGGCGCAACCCATCTAAGCTCATCTAAAGCTGGACTGAATTTTAGCCCAAATTGATCCATAAGTAACTTTGACAAAATATTTTTAAAATAATTTTTTTTTGTTTGATATGTAATATACGATGATAACAAAAGAAAAAGAAGTCTTATTTGATTATTAAACAATTCATAAGAAAACAACACACGCTTGATAATAGTTGGACAGGTTGGGTTATGACCCAAAGTTTATCATGGTATAGCCAGTTTTTACACTGGTCAATGAAAAATAGCCTGCGTTTATCAAGTCAATGGAAATAGCCACTATTTTGCTGCAACAGGGACCGGTCCAGTATAATATACGGGAGTTCTGGTGCATTTGTGTACGAATTCCAGCATATTATGCTGGACCGGTATACTTTGCTAACTCCTGTAAAATTTGCGGGAGACTGGAGCACCAGTGCTCCAAACTCCAGTATACTATACTGGACAATTATACTTGCTGGAACTCCCGTAAAATTTGCGGGAGTTCCAGCATAATTATGCTTGAACTCCTGTAAAATTTGCGGGAGTTCCAGCATAGTTATCCTGGAACTCCCGTAAAGTTTACGGGAGTTCAAGCATACTTATGCTGGAACTCCCGTAAAACTTTGCGGGTCGTATTTTTTCGGATTTTGAACAGTGTTTTTGCTCAGATTTAAAGTGGCTACATTTCGATGACTTTTGAAACTTGGCTATTTTTCAACGACCAGTGGTAAATCTGGCTATTTTTGAATTTCTCCCCATTTAGACCCAGCTCATCTTAGCCCAAGTAACTTTTGACCCACCCGAAATTAGCCCAACCCGTCAATTTGACACCCTTACCCGTAGAAAATAAAAAGTCCCTTAGCTGCCAACGAACTAATAAAAAAAGTACCCTTGCTGCCAATGAACTTATTAAATAAAATAAAAAAGTCTGTTATCTGAATGAGGAGACAATTTTGCCTAAATCCTTTGGTTGACTAATTATATACCCAATCATTGGTTCTTTTTTCTTTTTCTCTTACAGGTTTAGATGTTTCATTTCCAGCTAAGTTGATAAAACCTTTTTCCTTTTAAATAACCTCCATTAGAATATGCATTCAGGATTGTCTTTGGTGACCTCTAGATGGTGCAAAAGGTCAAACTTAAACGAGTTGTCACCAGGCAGAGTGGAAGTAAACTCATATGCCGCAAAATTGGGGAAAGAAAAAAGAAGAAGAGTACCGTACAACAACAACAAACTAGCGTAATCCCACAAGTGGGATTTGGGAAGGGTAGTATGTACGCAGACCTTACTCCTACCTTCAAGAAGACAGAGAAGCGGTTTCCGATAAACCCTTGGCTTAGAAAGAGAATATAAATTCGCCGTTGCCAGGGAACGAATCCCCGGGTCACCCGCGTGACAAGCGAGAATACTCATCATTGATTCCAACCACCACAACTTTTTTGGTGAGGTCCAATGATCTAATTTCATACAAGATAGAATTCAAAATTTAGATTTTTGTGACAGAGTTATCAGTACCTATGCTAGGAAGTAGTAAGTGTGCAGTAAAAATTTAAGATACACGCAAGTTACACCGAACAGTACTGGAAAAAAAAAAGTAAATAATAATTTAAGACTTTGAAAAGAAGAACGGCAAATTCAGCTTCAAGTATACTAAAAATGTTTTTAACCTCACTTATCAAAATAAAATATTGTTATCACCTGGAGACACATCAATGGGAAGAAGAGAATGCTATAATAAAGATAGTAATTATTTACCTGCGAAATGTTTTACTGTGAAACCAACTTTCTCAAACTTACCTTTCTCATTGCTTTCTCTAAACCTCAAATAATCAGCACAAACAAAAGGCTTATAGACTCTCAAATTTTCACTACGAACAATCTCTTTCGGGGCAACAATCAGTTTCTCATCTTCAAAACACCAAAAGAAAGCAATCGAAAATCGACTTATAGGCTCTTTTAGGACAACTCTGTGCTCAGATGACCTCAATTTCCCATTACTCCAAGCCTGCAAAAGATCACCAACATTCACAACAAGAGTGTCTTGACAAGGATCAATATCCATCCACTTGCCTTCTTTGGATCTAACTTGAAGACCACCAACTTCATCTTGATACACTATTGTTATACAGCTCATATCAGTGTGCATGCCTAGCCCTTCAACTTCTTCTTCCTCTTGTACATTTGTCGTGAATTCGGGTGGAGTGTAGTTGTTTACTCTTAGATAGCCATGACAGTTCTTGAATTCAGATGCAAATTTCTGCTCAAATTCAGGGCCTAAGCTCATCAGTATGACCTCAACAATGCTTTTGGACAGTTCTTCCATTTTCCTCCCATACACCTCCATTGCATGACTAGGGGACATAAGAAATTGAAACAATAAATAGCTAAATTCTTGCCAGAGAGACAACTCATGTGACAAATGATATTAAACTAGTTTGTGATGTATGCAAGAAAAGAAAAAGATTCTTCTGGACCATAAAGCACAATAACAAAAACTTAAAATAAAAATGTAGCGTTAAGTGCATCCAACGAGGTGGCCTAGCGGTCAATAAAGCAAGGGAAAACCATGGAAAACCAAGGGTCAAATGCAAGCAGAGACAAACCCATCTGCCAAAGCTTTAATGGACAAAATTACCCAGTACCTATGCTAGTGGAAGGTAGCAGGTATTGGATGAATAGTCGAGATACATGTCAGCTAGCTAGCCTGGCACCACCGTTATAAACACAATAAAGTAAAAATAAATGATGTAGTATTAAGTACTTTTTTTGTTTTACCTGAACTCAAGAATTGGCTGGTTGATGAGGGCATGGCAAGTGCTTTGTGCAGAGGCAAAGAAGTCAGGTCCAGACACCCTCAGGCTCTCAAAGAAAGGGGAAGCAATGAAGTGGGGAGTGTAGGTTCTTATATTTGATAATGGTCCAGCTTTCAGCTTTACATCAGAAGGAAGACTGAAAGTCTGGTTAGAAAGGAAATGAAGTTGTCTGCATAAATCTTTTGGAATTCCATGGTTGCGGATGTGAAAGAAACCCCATTCTTTACAAGCTAAAGAAAGGGACTTAAGGGAAGATGAACTAAAAGGCCTCGAGATGTCGAAAATGGGAAGTTTTACAGAAGTCTGAGATTCAGACATGCTCAACAAGTAATGATCAGCAGATAGATAAGTTAGTTTCTTCAGTTTTGTTTCTGTACTTAATAGAAGGGCTGGTATATCTTGGAAAGAGTACCAGTACTAAGGTTAACCTTGTAGGTTCTATTATATTTATAAAGTTATGGGTTCAGACCCACTATGTATTGCAATTTTAGTGAATTTTATACTAAATTTATGTTCCGCCTGTGCATTTAGGGATGAGGACAAAATAGATGTGAAAACCAGTAATCCTCCAGAGAAATGGAAATAAACAATTGTGCAGGATATAAAGAATGTTCACTTGAACTTAAAATAATATTTTGCAAGCTACTAAGCATAAAATAAGGACATCCACCAATTTATTAAGGTTTGAAAATTTCTGTTTAGAGTTTGCCGACTCTTCTTTCCACTCTCTATAGCTCTCCTTTATTTTAAGGTGGTCAATGAAAGTAGAGAATGAATTTAAGACGCTGTAAGCAATTAGGCAGCAGCGGGCACAAATGATGGAGGTGTGCTGGTCAAAACGGTTGTGCTGCTGGTTCTCAAGCTTAGATTCTTCGGTATTTGATATAAATAGTGGCACTCTATATTTATATCAAATCAACTAATTTAATCTAAAGAGTTATAAATTAAAATAAGAATATTTTATCGTTTAACCATGGTTACGAGACAAAGCAAGACACTTGTTATTTATTAGTTTGGTGCAAACAAGTTAGTTTTTTTCGTGCTTTTAGAAACCCTATTTATAGATGTGAAGACTTGAGCAGCTGCAGGGGACTCAAATGTTATAGACGGCCTCTCTCTATTTGTCGCTACTGCTTTTGACCTTGTTAATTTTTATATGGAGCGGACTCTCGCCTTATTTTGCAGTAAATCTTTTGAATGGGAGAGGGGCGCAAGTCTAATTCTACTGATTTGGCTTATTCTCTTACATTCATTACTCTGACAATTAAGCAAAGCATAATTTATATGCAACCGAGGACATTGTGCCTATTATTAAATTTAAAACCTAAAAGACTTGAAAGAGAAATAGGAAAAAACAAAAAGAGCTGGTCCCCGTAGCTCCCTTACCCTTGAAAGTTGGGGATTGGTCATGCATGATGACACATTCTATATTTCTTCCTTTACTCCAGCAAGGAAACATGATTGACTTCGGTGATCGGCATAATTTTTCGGGAAAGGATACTATATCCGCTCTCAAAACAATAACCAAATAATGTATATTTTTTGTGTATAATATACATTATCTATGTTATATACAAAAAATATATAAATTTTATACGTTTTTACGGCTATCGGATGTAAATAGTTTCTGCCGCGAGCTAAAGTGATCTTTGATCAAATCCAAAGTTTCTGCATCTTCAGAGGAAAATAGAGACCATTTTTTGTGGCAACTTATCAAGGAACTAAGGCACTTAATAGTAGGGCCGGAGCTAGAGTGCCGCCAGCGGGTTCGGCCGAACCAGTAGCTTTGGTTCAAACCCGGTACTTGTCTTAAAAAATCCATTGAATATGTATAAATTACTAATTTAAAACCCAATAACTTAAAACGATTAAAATCCCGAACCCATAAGCTTGAAATCCTAACTCCGCCTCTGCTTAATAGACAAATATGCTTTTGTAAATGACACTTCACATATGACAAGTAAGACAATAACATGCTAACGGCATGCAAAATCTGTAACTGCCCATCCAACACCACTTGCTTTCCTCATTATTTTCTTCTCTTTCTACATACCAAAAACCACATATTTCTGGAATCAGGTTAAAGCCGAAGAAATTACATAGAATAGAAGACTATAGACTAGTTGTGCAATGTTACAAAAAATGCAGTGACTTGAACTTGAATCTTCTTTTTGGCTTTATTACTGCTAACAGCAGAAGATAGGGGGCTTCGGTCTTCCAATCTTCATTCAAGTTGCTTATCTGAGGTCCTCTACAACTGCAAAGGGAAGGTAAAATGATTATATGCATTTGAATACTCTATTACATGAAAGCATTTTTCTTAAATATAGATCACTCGTCAATTTTATATTGCCTTTCTGCATGCGCATCTTTTTAACAAGTAAATAATCATTTTTCTAGATAAAGGGGATAAAGTGAAATCAGTTGCAATGTCAAGTGAAATTTAAAGTGTAAATTACACTCTCATTTTGAGAAATTAACATGCAAGTATATAGTTTTGTCATATACACAAATGCTCCTAGATCATAGTTTTAACGTCACTGGTGGCAGCTATCCAAACGGAAATAAAGAAAACCACTAGAACGTGGCAGCTGAACCCAGAAAGATTCCAATCTGCTTAGGGGAGGGAACAAGAAAAATACTGGACATAGGAAAGCTAGCTAAAAAATTAACTTTTGGCAGTAAGTGAGCTGAAGTAGCAAACAAATCCAAGCCAATTGGGGTTTTGTGATACTTTATGTTTCTCATTTTTGCTCCATGCATCGTCACTTTCCATGACCTATTGAGAAATTTAATCAACACCAGTGGTGATTCAGATATGGAACTTCAACAAGCTCCAACTGTCGACCAGATCTATGCTTTATGGACTTCCCGGTTGAAGACAAAGTTACTATGTGATACATGCAACACTTACAGCTATGGACAATTCCCATCTGGTATACACATGGCAATTAGTGTATTATATTACTGGATATGGGACTACATCGAGTCGAGTGAATCACCTCATCTAAAAGTTTAAAATATTAGAAAGAGAATTGAAAAACGAATATCTTTCGTCACTTCCATTCAATAGGCTTTTCCTTTTTATACCTTACTTACCTCAACACTTTTATTTATTTGTTTATTTAGGTCAACAACGTGCCCGGCCTTCACAAGGCCTGTTTTTTAAATTTATGTGGACCAACCATGTGAAGTATTTAGTCGATGGGTGGTGGTAAGACTCGAACTCTTGACCTACTCTGATCTGATATCATATTTGCCTGAACCACCATCTAAAAGCCCAAAGTGTTGTGAAGGCATATATCATTTATTCAGGTCCTCAATAATGTCCCCACTTGAAAGTTAAGAGTAAGCAGCATTTTCTGTCCCCAAATTGCCATTAAATATCCATAAATCCAACAAAGATGCATGCATCTTACACCCAAGTCCATGTTACAATATACAGGATAGTAACTACAAATTATAAGGAACAGCATTGAGAAGCATCAAGGACTAAACCTGCAGCATTTATTGAACCTATCTGACAGTCATAAACTCCCCACCCGAGTTGGAAAGTTACTAGTGCATCTACCTAGTGATCCATTTCTGAAGTCACTATTCTAAGCAGCAGCTTCTGTGAAAGTTCCTTCACAAAAAATTTAGCATACATATTACATTATACAGGATAGTGACTATAATTTATAAGGAACAGCATTGACAAGCATCAAGCAATTATTGAACTTATCTGACAGTCATCAGAAACTCCCCACCCAAGTTGGAAAGTTACTGGTGCATCTTACTAGTAATCCAATTTTGAAGTCACTATTCTAAGCAGCAGCTTCTGTGAAAGTTCCCTTCACAAAAAGTTGAGCATACATATTACATTGATCGAATTACGTATCGCGGTCAAGGATCGAGCAAGCATTACTCAGTAAACCAGACACCCTTCCACATCAAACCTCCCAAGCACGTCCTTTTACTTGATTTTCGTTCACAATAACGACCATAATTTAGCTTTATAAACAGGGAATCTAGGTACTCGGAAAGCAATAACTCTTGGATAAGCCAATAAAACACCATGGAAATATAACACCTAACCCTTGACAATATCTATGAGCAAACAAAACAATTGCACCCCTCCACTTTTGTTTCATTAAGATTGCGAATTTCTGAATGGGTTAATATTTTTGAATCGTAAATGACTAATCAGCAATTGAGAAGATTTTGCCGGACCTACCACTTTTGGAGTAACAATGTTATTTTACACCATGAGCAAGATTTATCAACCCTCTGAAAATCTTGTTCCGTTCTTTCCAAAAGGTAAATCTTGCAGGAAACTTGTATTAGAGCCTTATAAAAGCGTTCAAGTCATTGACCAACATGTGTTGCCAGACAGTGGTGTAGCCAAGTGTATTGAAGGGGGTTCAGCTGAATCCCCTTCATCGAAAAAGTTATACTGTGCAAATAGGCAAAGACAATTTTTTTGTATATATACAAAATTTGTTGAATCCCCTTGATAGCTAAGTGTCACACTGTGCAAGTTTTTGCATTTTTTTAATCCCCTTGTCTTCTAACAGTTCGGTCCAGTCATTATTTGAACTTTGGTGTATTTTAGGTAAAAGTATTCTAATGCTTCTGACATTACCAAGTGAGATCGTGGCTCAAACATGAACTATTTGTCGAGATAGAGGACTCGGTAAAAAAGTTATCTACTGTTCCACGCTACTTTAAATTTTTTTTGGTTCAGATTAAAGAAAAAATGTCTGTTTTCCCACTTAAGCTGTCTATCAGACGACGGCAATTCCCCTCTCGAAGTTTAGAGTCTTTTTTTAACTAAACTTGTATGGTTGTTTTTCAAGAAACATAGCTTGCTTTAGAGCAACTTTGATGACCAGAAACTAGCACGAGCAGACCTCCAATAAAGTACCGATAAAAGTCTCTCTTTCCCTAGCAAAAACCTGAGGCATTTATGAATTAAAGTGACCATTATGTCTATTAAGAACAGATGCTTTCATGTAAGCTCCATCCATGGGTACAAACACTTATCAAAGCAGCAATTGGAATTGAAAGACAGTAAACCAAACCTTCACTATTAGCCCAACACAGTAAAAAAAAGCTCAAATTTCATGGAAAACAAATATTTATGCAATCAAGATCGCAACTTGACCAACGACAAAGAATAACCTTTTCAATAGTGCATAGCTAATAATTACCAAAAAAAAAAAAACTAAAATTATAATGAAACAAGACGTTAACAAAAGCTGTCAGTATCAAATTTCAAGAAGTTGCAATCATAGGATCAGAATTCGAACCGGAGCTGAGCTTTGGGGGGTATTCCGAAGAAGAATTAGGGTTGTTGATAGAACAAGATGACTTAAAAGCTTCAATATGAGACTGGCATTTCAAATAGTCGCCTTTATTTTCTTCCAAACATTTCTTCAGAGCCTCCACATCGCATGCTTTCTTCTTCACACTCTTGTTTTCCTTCTCCGTTTTCCCCTCCATTTTTCTTTGTATTTCCACAAAATGATTTGGAATAAAAAGAAAAAATTGGACAATTGGACTCGACTCCTCTTTGGAATGTCCTGGACTGGACCTTTGACGTAACCCGGAACCAGCGCTAAATATTTAGAGCAAATACAAAATTGACCGGTCGTCGAAATTAATTGCATCCAAATATATATATATATATATATATATATATATATATATATATATATATATATATATATATTTCGACCGATTCAATGAGATTATACTGTGAGAAATACTTACTGATCATTGTACCAAATTAAGTAATTTAACTATTTAAGTTACATATTAAAATAAAAATATATACAATATCATTTAATTATGTTTAATCGATATAAAAAGTGCATATCTTATTTTCATTAGTTTGATGCAAATATAAATTTCGTCAATTTTTTGTGGTTTTACCCTCTCAATACGAAAATGCACTTGTGTTTACCCTGGAATCCGGATAACAATTGAATTTATATGGGGTTTTAAGGATCCGTGAACTAAAAGATACAAAAGGTTTGGATTGAGGAAAATAAAGGATAAAGACTCAACAATTGCTGTTAAAGTAAATAATCGCAGAATATAATATTGCTTAGAACAATTGTGCTTGATAGCGTACAAGAATAGAGAGAGATGGTACTCTAGTGTAATGGTTTCCGATCCCCTCTTTATGGGGTCTTCTCCCCTTTTATACATTTTGATTAAGGGTAAAAATAAGGTAGGTAAATTAATTACATCGTGGATCCCTGTAATTACGCCTTAATGGCCTGAAGTGGTTGAGAAAATCACGTTTGGGCGAGATATCCGGCGACGCTTGGTTATCCGTTACGAGTCCGGCTTCCGACCTTGTGTGTTTCTCCATCCGGTGGTGACTCATATCGAGCTCTGCAACGGTCTCGAAATGACTCGACCTCGGTTGTTGACGTGGCCGTCGTTCTACCTTGCATCCAGGTCGGGTTCAATGGCCCCGACTTGCCCCGGACCGGACCCAACCCGGTCGGGCTCAAGCAAAAAGGGTATCACCCAATACAACTTGAAAGTTCAATATTCCATAACTAATGAAATGGATTAGATCCATGATTCCATTCTACTCATTTTTCAAGATATTTAAGTCAACCATATATGAAAAAATTGGAAAATATTTTTTCCTTCGTATACATCCTTAGTAATTATCTCAAATATATTACTCCATCCGTTTCAATTTAACATGGGGTTTAAGAAAAGAGAGAAGCCTTTTGAATTTGTGGTGTAAAATGAGGCACAATATTTTGTGTGGCTATAAATCATTGCATAAAAGTAATTGTTTCCAAATAAGAAAAAAAGTCATTTCTTTTTGCACGAACTAAAAAAAAATATATTCATATAAATTGAAACGGAGAAAATAATTTAAAATAATTATTGGCAGTAGTAGTTGTTTAAATAAAGTGAATACATGTATTATGCAGCATAGAATAATGTCCCTCGTGATACTTTAGAATTACTAAATACAAATTACTAATATTACTTTTGTTCGGTGCTAAAAAAATATTATCCTTATATAAAATGAAATGGAGGGAATATTACTTTCGTAAACAAATATTACGTCTTAAGATTTAAAAAAAAAAAAAAAAAAACTACTAAATATAGCGGTATATATTTTTTTTTTAATTTTACATTATGGCTTTATTTAGCGGGATTTATGATGAAAGATAAAGTCTTCATAAGGAGCGTGGAAGAGCGCCAGGTAGGACAGACGAAGAATTTGAAAATTGAACCCTAACAACGGCTACTTCTCTACACCATAATACATCACTAGTTCACTACCACTAACCAGACAATCCACTCTCTCACTCTAATTCATCCAAATTCTCCATAATTGTAAAATTTCAAGCTCTGATTTCTTCCATGGCTTTGTCAACGCCCGATTCAAATCGCTTCAAACTACCCATCGCTGGCCCAAGAATCTCGCGCAGAGTACGAATTGTTGGAAAAATCCGAGGATTTATAGACCAAGAGTCTGAAATATCGGGTCGAGATTTGAAACCGTGGGTCACTGTGTGCCGGCACATAGAGAGCGATTCGGATCCCGGAAAAGTTACAATCTCATTCGGAGATGAAGGGAGTAGGTAATTTTAAATTGTGTCCATATGTTGATTATGTGCAATTGCTTTGATTTAACATACCCTTTTTCGTTCCGGATATAAATTTACTGAAGTAGACCCAATATTAGTTTGTTTTAGTTACAGGCGCGGGTTGAGGTTAAGCCCGCTGCATTAGGCCCCCAAGATATCATAAGCCCCAATTCTTACTACTATTAGATATAAGAATATATCATTTACACAATTATTGTTTCAAATTTTACGTTTTGTTTTTGGAATTTGATTGAAGTAGTTCAAAATGTGTAAATTATGTAAGTTTTTCTCTCTCACTAATTAATACATTTATCTCCCTTTTGTTTTTTATTATTCCTCCTCCACATAGATTCATTTTTTTTCTGTTTAAGACTGATGTCATTTTTCAATTTTAACACGATTTGCCTGAATAAGCTATATAAGAATGAGTAGATAAAAATGCCTTTGAATGTTTAATACATACGATTTGTCGCCATTTCATTTTGCACCTCAAAAAGCTAGAAGAATGAACTGTAAATAAAAATCTGTATTCATCACATAAGTTTTAGGCCTCTTATCGAAATTTTGATTTAGGGCATCAATTTTGTTATGCTGAAGATTCCCATTTGTAAATGTGTTTTCTACATGATTTTGTTTCTTTTGACATTGATTGGTGCTAGGCTTCCTTCTTTTTTTTTTTTTTTTTTTTTGTGAAATTTTTTGAGATTCTCTAGTATTTTGCAGTCGCAAAGATAGATATGAATTAGATAATTGCTATGAACAAGACGAGGATAATGCTGTAGTATTCTCGAGAGAGGTAAAGCCACTGATAGCAGAAGTTCTCAACGGTCGAAATGCATCCATTATTGCATATGGGGCAAGAGGCAGTGGAAAAACCCACACAATCCAGGTATGTCTTCTGTGTATTTTGCCAATAAGTGGGTTCTTTTTCCATGCATCTCAGTTTCTCCTCTGTTTCTCTAATAATAACCTTCTGTTACTTTGAAACTGAGGATATTGTTTCTCTATTTTAGGGTTCTGTGGACAAAGAAGGTTTGGCAGCAATGGCAATAGCTGAGATCCTTTCGCAAACAAAGGATGCCCAGAAAGCAGTCCTCGTTTCTTTTTATGAGGTGTTCCAGGATCATGTCTATGATCTTTTGGATCCTAATCATCCCGAAGTTCAAGTGCTTGAAGATTCTCAAGGAAAAATAAAGCTTAAAGGACTTTCTAAGGCAAGTGAAAGTAATCCAATTCAATTCGAGGAGTAAAATATTGAGATATTGCACATTGTTATGGTTAAGATTGCTCTCTTCTTATCTTTTACGTAGGCCGCTGTGGATTCCATTTCACACTTTCATGATCTAAGTGCTTGTTTGGCTGCACCATGCTATCCAGTACAAAAGACACCACTCCAAATACCCAAAAGGAGTCACAAAGGGTTAATGATACATATAGCATCTGCTGATGACATCCAGGGTAGTAAATGTCTCAATGTGATGAACTTTGTGGATTTGGCAGGTTAGCTAGTCCTAAACCTCCAAAAGTTGCAGAGATTTTCTCTTTTGCCGAATAATTGCTTTTTGGTTATCTTCACTGTATAATTATGCTCTCAGGCTATGAGGATTCCAGAAGAAGCAGCAAAGATGGAGTTACGCTTACTGAAAGTGCTAGAATAAACAAGTCTTTATATGGCATTATGAACGTGGTGTACGCTCTGAACACAAATGAGAAGCGTGTTCCTTATCGAGAAAGCAAACTCACTCGGATGCTGCAGGAATCTCTTGGTGGCTCCAGTCATGTTTTGCTGCTAACCTGCTTGGTAATGACTTTTCTCATTCTAACATGGTTAGATATTTTCTGTAGATTCCAAGTCGCTTTGAAAGATTCCTTTTCTCACCCTTCCGTTTTTTGTTCTAGAATCCAAGTCTTTGCCAAGATACTCTTTATGTAGCAAGTTTGGCTTCACGATCATGTCAAAGTGCCGGTCAGATATTGACAAGCTCTACAATGAAAAGTAAAAAGCACACCAATCAGCAAGCACGACTAGTGGGTACCCCGTTGTCTGGGAAAAAGAACAACTCTGCCTCCAATTTGATAGGAAGGTATCACTACATGGCATATCATATTATGAACTAGAATATATGGTTGACGGTTGTGTACTGAAATATTTGCTTCTTTGTTTTCATTGAAGGAAACTATTCAGTGACAGAAAAGCTATCATCTCTAAGCAGGTACCAGTGCATTGCTTTTTGGTTCTGATTCCAATATAATTGGTTGCATTAACTGTTAAAAAGAATAGTTTACTTACAAGTCCGCTACTTTAGTTGTCAACTCGTCAGGTTTGTACCTCTATGTTTTAGGGTGTGACATTTTGAGTTTCTTCACTCCACAAATTCTTTCTCTTTTGCTTTTGGAATGTTGCTTTTATCACTCCACATTGGTTTAATAAAATGACGGAAATTACCTGGTCTAGTTGAAATCAATCAGTAATGTCTACAGCATTTTTACATGTCATTGATTCATACCTATAACTTGTCATTGATTCATAGGATGATGTCACCTCAGCCACAAAGTTTAAGCCTCTTTCAGAGAATGTTTCAACTATCATATCTTCCTTCCATAAAAAGGTATATGACTTTATCTGTTGAAAGCATTGGTTTACTAAAGAAGTTAACATCTTATTCATTGTTTAGTTTATGCCTCATGGAACTTAAATGTTATGTATTGCTAGACTTCTCAAGACAAGTCCAATTCAGATAGCTCTAGAGCCTTGATATCATCAGCAGAAAATGTTAGTACACTTTCATTTTTTGAATGCATTTCTGTTCCTTTTATATTTTTCTGTTTTAATGGCTATGCGTGGGCTTGATCAACTTATTGGTTGCAGGAAATCCCAAGTGCTTTCAAGGAAACAATCTCTATTCATAAAATGGAAAAGGTGAGGCAACTTAAATTTGGTTATACAGTAGTCATTTAATTAAACATTTTTGACTGATGCACATTAATTAATTGGTGTTATCTGCGTAATGATATTAACCTTTGCATCTCAGGATGCCTCTCCACCAAATAAAGCAAAGGATTTAAAAGTTACTCCCGAAGTTCATTGTGATGTCAAAGAAATTCTTTCTTTTGCACATGATGGTAGGTTGTGTTACAAGTTGGTTATTGTGTAAAATTTGAACTTTCTCTCTTTTTTTTTCTTTCTCACAGTGCTATGAACTCGTAGGTGTTGTGGATACGGAGAAGAAAAGTGGAGATATGAACATAGACAAAGTAGCATCACCACCACTAAGTGAAAGACTTAGAGAAATAACGAATAATTTACGGTTGTTGGAGTCTTCAACTTCTTTGCATATGTTGATGCCAAAGCAGTTGGACACATCTCAAGGAAGCCTTGAAAGTTCTGGTGACATTATAGAACCCAAAACCCCAACAGCTGAAACTGATATGAGAACCGGTGACAAATTGGAGATTGCCATGTATACTAGTCCTTGGGAAAGATTTCATACGCGCAGTTCTGGAGTAAAGGTTTAATTGATTTACTTTTGTGAGTAGTTCTTTAGCATTTTTTTGTCTGATGCTACTTCAACTTATTCACTCTCCTTTTTCATTGTGCAGAATTGTCTTGTCCAAGAATATCTGAATTTGTTAAACACTGCAAGCAAGTAAGTGAATGATTCCCCTATATAACCGGTTCTCCTCTTTTTCATATAGTTCTTTTCCTTCTGATATTAATTGTCAATTTATCGGTGACTAAGATTTTCCTTCTCATCATATTTTTATTCCCTTCCAAAATCCAAGACAACTAACTTGATGATATTACTTCTCAAGCTATTTTCCCTGTCCCTTTTTTCCAGTTGTAAAGCATTAGCTAAGTGGTGAAAATTGCAAGTTTGTAAAAGAAGCAACCCTCATATTATGTGATCTTAAGTTAGCACAACACAATTGAAGAAGCAACCGTGATATTTGCTTCTCAACCTATGTTACACCGTCCATCTTGCACCTTTATTGCAACATCGTATTTTTTAGCTGTAAAGCATTAGCTAAGTGGTGAAAACTGCAAGGTCTAAAGTAGCAACCTTAATGTTATGTTATCTTAAGCAGCAAACTGCAAGGTTTCACAGTTCCTTCTTTTGGATTATGAGGGAATGACTCTGGCCAGAACTGGTCTTGTAAACCGCGCTTTGATGCTGAGACTGAGGCCCCCAAGAGTAAAAAGGGGTGGTTGTTATTTAAATGGGTTTCAGTATATTTGTTTATTCTTGTGGTGTGTGCATTGGCTAATATTTCTTATAACATTCTTCTTTCTCTCATTTGTGATTACAGAGAAGAGTTAACAAGGATCCAGGTAAGATCACATGTCAATACTATTCTTTTTCAAGCCTATCATTGGTATAATAGTTTATAAGTCAATATAATATTTCGCGTAGGGCATCGGAGAAAAGAGAGCAACTTACATTCTTGAACTACGTGAAGAATCTTCAGAACCCTTTAAGAGTGTAAGGACCTTGGACATAATGTTTTTGCAACTGGAAAAAAGAAAAAGATATAGTGATTGTACTTAAATTTGTTGATCATTTTGTTTACTTTTGTTCAGCTTGAAGATTTGAAAGAAGTTGGTCTCTCGAAAAAGGAGGTACTTTTACTAATCTTTCAATTTTTCTTGATTCCAATGTGTTATAGCTAATTATGTAAGCTTTAACGGTCATTACTGCCATATACTTTAATTTTCTTGAGCGCCATAGCCCATAGCCTAAGAAGAAAAAGTCGAATGTATGTGGGAAAAAGATAGTGTTTTTGTATGGTTGTTTTGGTCTAGTATACGCGTGTTCTGCATTTGACATTAATTTTCTCCATGCACTTTGCCCCTGTCAGAAAAGGAAAATAATAAAAAGAAAAAGCAAACAAGAAAGACATCTTGAGTTGAGGAAAACAAGTTAAAGGAACACGAAGAAGTATAAATTTTCACTTGATTTTTCAAGAACTTATTAAGTATGTTGGGATGAGTTCTAGGACCTTCAAGTATTCACTTGATATTACTAGTAACTTTGTCTATGGGAGATGAACTATTATTCAAGTAATTTATGCCCTTATTCTCTTGTTTTCTGCTTATGTGTCTTTACAGATAAATGGCTTGATGAGGAGAATGGCTGGACAACTTTTCTGCTAGAATGGCCTTATAAGAATTGTTTGATGGCAACTAGAAGTTGCCAGCAGTTATATTATGATGATTTTGAATGTAACATGTTTCTTTGCAATTGTTCCAACCAATGGAAAAACATACTACTTTGTGATATGCTATGCTTTTGTGGAAATATACATAATTAGTCTCATGAGACTACTATCCAAGAACAAGAATTATCCAACTGAAGCTGTTACCTTCACTACTGTTTTGTGTGAAAGTTATCCCAAAAAGGCATCGATAAATCAGCCCATAGAGCATCTGGCTCAGTCGTGATCATTTCTGTACAATGGGCCAAAACAAGGGAAGAGAGAAGAATTAACAAGCAGAAATTCATGTACGACCTTCAAGTATTCACTTGATATTTCTAGCCATTTTAACTTAAAATATATTAGTAAATGACATAATTGCCCTTGAACTTTTTAACATACTGTTTAGTTACTTTTCATATTTTATCGCCCTTCTCTTTGTTTTTACAGCAGTGTACGGATTTCGCTTTCGTGAGAGCACTTTTCTTCGAATCTTGTCTGGGTTAGGTCCAATTTTCTTCAAAATTATCTGGGTGAGTTTTGTTTTTACAATAATGTGTTTGAATTTTCGTTGTTATTGTTTTTTCGTTAGGTTTAAGTTTGATTTCCGTACCGTTAGCGTTTAAATATTTGTGGTATATTAACTTTTACGAATTTTTTTCTGTTCATTAGTTCGTCTTATTTCTGATAATTTTGTCACTCTGTTATTAGTTTTATGTTGTAATGTTGTAATCGTTGTGTAATTTGTTTTGATAAGTTTTTCAAATATTTTTCTAGTCTCTGTATATTAGGGTTAATTTTCAATTATTTTTTTTGCTTCAACTGCATTATAGATTTCTCCAGTTCTTGTTAAAACTTGAAATCCAGAACAATGTGGTGGACTTGATATTTAAATTTGATGTAGTATATTATACGGGAAATCTGTCTTCTAAAGGCTTGTTTCCCAATTTTTTACACTGTGTGATTTTTTATTTTGTTTTTTGTTTATAGAGTTCGGTAAAATTTTGTTCAGTACATTATACTTGAAGTCTGTCCTCTAAATGTTTGTCTTCCAGTATGTTATACTAGATGATTATTATAATATAGTTGAATTTTGTTTGGTTCCAGTATATTTTAAGGAAGTCTGCCATGTGTAAGCTTGTTGTCCAGTATGTTATACTGGATGAGTTCTGTTTAGACTAGAATTTTATTTTATTTCTCATTACTTTTTCTGAATGATTATCTGTCTTTTTTTTATTATGCTCTTTGATCTAGTATATAACACTTGAGTTTTGTTTGATTTCAGTATCTTTTAAGGGAAGTGTGCCGTCTTTAAGCTTGTTGCCCAGTATGTTAAGGCTTGTGATTATATTTATAATGTGTGATTTTTGATTATGTTTTTTGTTTATAGAGTTTAGTAATAAAATTTTGTCCAGTATATTATACTGGAAGTCTGTCCTCTGAATGTTTGTCTTCCAGTATGTTATACTGGATATTATATGTTTCTTCTGCATACCCCAGTATTTGTTTCTGGAGTTTCATATCTTCTAATTTATTTTTATCCAGTATATTATAATGTAAGACTGTAATCTGTAGACTTTGTTGTCCAATTCATTTTACTGGATGAGTTCTGTTTATAATTTGTTTCTTTTATATATACTGGATTCTGATTGTGTTTACTTATCTAATTTGTAATATGTTTTATTTTTATGATTTTATGGAAATGGAATCTTCAAGTAGGATATTGAAGGTACGTATTTCTGAAATGTTAGTTTTTATCTTAAAATTATATGAAATGTTGCTTATATGTGTTGTATTTTGATTTTAGGAGGGAGATAGATTTTATGAATTTAACCAGTGGTTTCCTGCTGATTGTTATTGGAAAGGCGATCGAAATTTTGAGCAAACTATTTCGTCCTTTTTGTGCGGAACTCAAATGGATATATTAAAGAACGGTGTATTTGGGGAAGTTTTTAGAGTTGAATGAAGTGGGTCACTCTAGGAAGTTGACTCATTGTATGTTGCTCTCTCAAGTTTTTTACAAGGATAAAAGCAAAATGGTTTTTAAAGTTTTTGGGAACGACGTAACATTTACAGAAGATGATTTTCATACTATTACCGGGCTTAAGATTGAGGCATCCGATTATAGTTTCGTTGATGCTAGAGAAAACCGTTTGAAGGAACGGTATTTCTCTAATGTGAAAAAAGGTTTGAAGGTAGATAATTTCTATAAATTATGCAAAAGTGTTCTCAACTCCGTGTTGGTGCAGCAGATGATATGTGTGTTGATGTCGAGGTCTACGATGAAGATGCAGTAAAGTTTGCTGAGATTTATCTATTAGAAGGTGTTCTTTTGGGTAAAGAGCATAGTAGAAATATAAGTGATCGTTCTATGAAAATCATAGACGATGCAGAACTTTGTGCTTCTTTTCCATGGGGCAGTTTCTGTTTTGATGAGCTTATTGATAATTTATCTCATCTTCTAACAACTGAGTCAGTGAAAAAGAAACCAATTGGTAGGATCGCATCTTATACGGCGCTTGGATTCCCATTTTTGTTTAATATGGATAATGGAAGTGTTTAATGATTTTCGTCAATTTTCAAAATATGAGGATCGGGGGCCAATTAGGATTGTCTTACTCAAGCATTGAATGTCCAAAATATGACACACTTTGCAATGATTTCTTTACTAAAGCAAGTGTAAGTTAATAGTATGTGACTTTTTATTATATATTTGTGCTCATATATTTTGTTTTAATCTAATTGTTTATCTTTCTGTTTATTTAATAGAACTTTAAGGTTTACAAGGTGAATCCATCATATCTTCTCCAACCTTCACCAAAAGTTAATGTTAGCGACATTGTGAATGTAAGTTGTTGTTTCTCCAATTTTATTTAGTCTTGCTTTTCATTAACTTCTACTATCGTATACTAGATTTTTGTTCTAATAACTTGCATTTCTTGTGCGGGTGGTTGGTTTGGAGCCCCCCGGGCTCGGGTGAGTTTCGGAGTAGCTTCGGAGCATTTTCCCAAGAAATGGGATTGCTGGTACTGGTATGATCGCAATTGCGATGTTCTGGTCGCAAATGCGGCCGCAAATGCGGTCATCGCATTTGCGAGGTGTTGTTCGCATTTGCGAACCTAGGCGGCTAAGGGGATGGTTCGCATTTGCGACAAATGGGTCGCTTTTGCGAGGCCTGAAGGGTTCGCATTTGCGAAACTCTTATCGCATTTGCGAAATGGGCCAGTCCAATCGGGGGTCGCATTTGCGATGGAATCTTCGCATTTGCGACCTTCTTGTCGCAAATGCGACGATATCAGGGGGGGGGGGGGTAGGGAGTAGGCTTCTCATTTGCGAGGCTTTTATCGCATTTGCGACCCTCACATTTGCGAACCTGGTGTCGCAAATGCGACATCAGAGGCTTGTGTCCAGCTTTTAAAAACGGGACTTAGGCCATTTATTCCATTTCACTTCTACACTTGGTGTGATTTGGGAGCTTTCAAAAAGGGGATTTCAACCTACCACTGTGAGGTAAGTTATTTCTACTCAAATGAGTTTAATACTTGGTGTTTTGGGTAGATTAACACACAAAAATTAGTAAAAATCATGGGAATTGAGTAAAACCTAGGGTTTTGATAAAAGCAAGATTTAACCACAAAATTTGTTATGGAATGAAGTAGAAATTATATATTATTGATCCTTAGGTTATGGATAACAACTTTCTTCAAAAATTTTCGAAATCCGGTGTGATGACCCAAAAGGTCATCACTTGTTTTAGAAATAAATTCTGTGTTCCGAGGCCTTATAACCTCCTTTTTATCTCACCTCGATCTGCGTGCGCAGCCCGGACGAGTATCCGGAAAGCCCATTATGTGAAAATCTGTGAAAAATAATAAATTTTGCTTTTAAGATGAATTTAGGTTGACTTCGGTCAACATTTTGGGTAAACGGACCCGGAATCATAATTTGACGGTCCCGGAGGGTCCGTAGGAAAATATAGGACTTGGACTTATGCCCGGAATCAAATTCCGAGGTCCCAAGACCGAGAAATGAATTTTTGAAGAAAATTGTTTAACTGAAATTGTAGAGTTTTTGGAAAATTTGAATGTAATTGAATTTGATGGTATCGGGCCCGTATTTTGGTTCTGGAGCCTGGTGCAGGTCTTATATGGTATTTAAGTTGAGCCTGTAAAATTTGGTAAGAAACGGACTTGAAATGACGTGAATCGGACCTTCGGTTGTTAAAATTTGAACTTAAGAATTCATGAGATTTTTCTTTGATTTTGATGCTAAATTCATAGTTATTGACGTTATTTTGATGATTTGATCGTACGAGCAAGTCCGTATGATGTTTTTGGACTTGCATGCATGTTTGGTTTGGAGCCCCGAGGGCTCGGGTGAGTTTTGGATAGGCCACAGAGTGAAATTTGGACTTAGGAAATTGCTGGTGTGTTGCAGGTCTGCAGGCTTCGCAATTGCGAAGCGTGGCTCGCAAATGCGAAGATTGATCGCAAATGCGAAGATGGCCTGGGCAGGCCTTGATCTCAAATGCGCCCATTTGATCGCAAATACGGAGGGCCGGAGTCGCAAATGCGACATATGCCTCGCAAATATGACTCATTTCTTTCAATCTAATCCATCTTTTTACATGATTTCAACTCAAAATCAAGGGTTTTCATGGGGGAAATTGGGTGTTTTGGGTATAACTTAGGATTTTCGAATTTTGGGAATTTGGACCTCGATTTGAGGTCCGATTTCAAAAGAAATTATATATTTGAGTTCGTGGGTGAATGGGTAATCGGGTTTTGGTTCGAACCTCGGTTTTGACCATGTGGGTCCGGGGTCGATTTTTGACTTTTTGGGAAAAACTTTAGAAAATCTATTTTCATGCATTAGAATTGATTTATTTAGCATTTATCGATATAGTTAAGTAACTTGTGTCTAGATACAAGCGAATTGGTTGTGGAATCAAGAGGTAAAGCGATAGTTAAGGCTTGAATTGTGTTCGTGGCATCGAGGTAAGTGTTTGGTCTAACCTTAGATTGAGGGATTAGGAGTCGTGTCCTATTTGCTATGTGTTAGATGTTGAGTACGACGTATGGGCATGATGACGAGTATCTATACGTTGGTGTCAAGCATGCCCGTGAGTCTTATACTATGATTAATGTGACTCCGTTTTGTATTGTTCATGCCTTATGTGATGATTTCTATTGTTGAACGAGGCTTGTGGAAGTAATATTGGTAATTGAATATTGAAGAGCGTTGGCTCAAGTTGTAAAATGATTTGTGGAAGTATTATTGGCAATTTAATTGGCTCAAGTTGTGAATTGAATTGTGAGGTAAATGTGGAAAAGAGAAGAGGTTTATGATATTGTCTCCCTTGCCGGGATGTTGTTGCTTTTAATGTTATCTCCCTTGCCGGGATGTCATTGCTTTTGATATTGTTTCCCTTGTCGGGATATGATTGTTGTACTATTGTTTCCTTGTCGGGATTTTATTGTGATTCTATTGATTCCCTTGCCCTTATTGCTTTGTGATTGACGTTTGGGTGAGGAAGAGTGTTAAAGCACGAAGGGTGATGCCGTGCATGATATTCGTGAGAGAGTGTTAAAGCTCAAAGGGTGATGCCGTGCCACACGATATACAATTCGTGCCTTTATATGAGTGATAATGCACGAAGGATCATTCCGTGCCATGATTATATGAGGTAAAAGCACGAAGGGTGATGCCGTGCCGACTATATTGATTCTTATGGTGAGGACGAGAGTAAAAGCACGAAGGGTGATGCCGTGCACTTGTCCTTGA